ATATACGCAAGTCAATATTGTACAATAGTTTTAAAGTTGATTATTATTAAAATATGGACAATGTATTGTTGTTATTTTTTGCTAGGATGCTATTTTTTGGTCTGTTTTTTTTGTTGTTGTTGTTTTCTCGTCATCAACCAAACCATGGTCAAAGTTGGCGGATTGTATACTGGTTGTAATGTTTAAAGGCCGACAATGAGGACTTGACGGGRTTTCAAAGTCCGCGCAATTAGTTCCAGTCCGAGGCGTTAGCCGAGGACTGGAACTAATTGCAAGGACTTTGAAATCCCGTCAAGTCCGAATTGGAGGCCTTTKAACGACTTCAAAAACTCATTAATTATTCGGGAGGGGAAAAAGCGAAGGAAATACATATAACAGAAATATATTGATTTATTGCATCTCCACTAAGGTTTTCAGTTTTCATAATTTTGAATACATGAAGCACCGTTTGTTGTTCTTCAATTCCCGGACGGCTTTCTGAAACAAAAGCTATTCAAATTGTCTTTGTCTGCTATTCATGGCATTCCTAATGAGCCTAATCCATAAGATTTATAAGTATGTTATCTTCCGAGGAAACGCATCAGAAAATCGGTGGTGTAATGGTATAAGACGGCGCATATAGACTGGACGGTAGGGGATCGAGTCGTGAGGGAGTCATGTATCAAAGACCTTTTTTCACTAAATTAATGTTAAACTGATTATTTCCAATAATTTGATTAGTATTAGTTGGAAACATGGTAGAAGTAACTGGAAATAAGGTAGAAGTAACTGGAAATAATGTAGAAGTAACTTGAAAAAGGTAGAAGTAACTGGAAACAAGAAAGAAAAAATGGTATACCATCGAGTCCATTTTCCATGGAACGACACAGGGTTCCCGAGCGTACGCACGTTTCCTTCCGTCCTTCCGTCCTTCCTTCCTGGAGAGCGTGTACCACCACAGGAAACCCATACTCCGCTCGAAAAGGAAACAAAGCGCCAAATATTTGTTGAAAAATCGAAATTTTTTCCTTAAACATTTATATTACATATTGATAATATTAGAACAATTAATCACAAGGAAAAAATCCACTGAAGAGCGAAATAACAGCACAGAAATATTCCCGCCAATTTTGTCATAACTTCGACGCGTCCGCACATCCGGGAAATCGATTTGCGAAGATGAAAAGCAATTTAGGCCCATCTTAAAAGTGATATTAGAAAAAAGGATTTTACTTTGATATTTCGACAACAAGAAAGAAATGATACTTTATTGGAAATACTTCAATAATATGGACCAATATGGGAAAAAGCAGGGATCTATGCGAAGTTCTTTTGTCGACTAAAAGTGAGGACATTTCGAAACCAAGACCATGCTAGCAGTTAGATTGAGAGAGATTAAAAACAAAGAATCTACAGTCTTGAATGACTTAATAAATTGATGAAACCTATGCTTGAAACCAGTATAGCTCTGTTGAAGATGACTACCTTTGGACGATAAATTATCGATCATGAAGGTAAAAAATATATTTTTGTATACAGTTTTCTGTGATATGTGAAGTTCGAGTAGTCCGGGTTCAAACATCGATTATTGAAACAATGTTGATTATTGTAAGCTTATGTAGACTACTTTTTGCCGAGAAGCTTTCAGTTTACTTTTAATCAATTGACCTTTATAGATTATAATATTTTATTATATATATAACGAGACTTTCATAGTGTAAATGGCATAAATGGAAATCTGTATGCTATATTTTCACACGTGAAAAATAGCGATACGTCTAATCAGAAGCGCGTATAGAATTTTTCACTTGTGAAAATATAACCAATCACAACACAGAAAAACCGTAATCAGCCAATCAGAAAGCGACGTTCACAACACTGAAATGGCTTCTCTCACATACCGCGCGTCAATGGCAAAATGGCTGAAGGTGAACTGTGTTTGTTGATCAAAATTCCACATTTGAAGAGTTTATTAGTGGACAGGAAGGCAAAACAAACTAAAGCAAACTAAGAAGACATTTTTTTTTCAAGAGAATTAAGTTTTTTTGCCATCCAGAACACAGGCTTACCAAACTATCGAGAAGAGTCGGCTCCAGGCCTCCTATGGCGATTATCGGCCGAAAGCCGTTGAAATCTCTTCAAATTAGGCCATTTTCAACATCGATATTTTGGTTATTTTGGGGGGTTATATTCTGTTTTTTTTAGTTCAGAAATAAACTTTAATGCTTTTTTGAATGTGGATTTGTGGTTCTTTTTGCCGTGCGATGCGTTTTTCATGGGTAAATGATCGCGAGCCCCGGTGAAGTAAATCCCCACAAGGCTGGAAACTCCAGGCCGCCGAACTCGCCAAAATCGCCAAGTCGACTCACTTAAACCTCAAAATCGGGTAGAAAAAATCGCGCCAAGCTCTTGAAATTTTGGGAAATTAACCGCAGATAAACACTTCATTCCCTCCTGAAATATCAAAATCACAGCTAAAACCGAACAGAAATAAATCGGTCCCGAAGTTCAAACGTTTGCTTTCGTACCATGAGCTGACCAAACCGGTGTCCCCTCGGCATCTCAGGAATGCAAGGAAGGCTTTTTATAGAATGGTAAAGTTGTGTGACACATTATGTAGCTGTATAGGAAAGCTGAATCAGCTCAAACGAAGAGGGAAATTGCAGCGCGTTATCTTGCATACCAACCAAGAGAAGTAGCTTTCTCGGCGAAGAACTTTTATTTCTTACTCCTTACTACAAAATTTCGCTAAAACTTGTACGCTCTTGCAGCTTCATTGGAAAGTACGACTATTAATTTAGTTGTTTTTTAATCAAGTTTATTAAGTTCCGAATTGTCTGTGCATTTTAATTTTATCTACATAAGCTCATATTAAGTTTGTTTCCCATAATAGTTGAACAAGCTTATTAAAAAGTATGCCGAATGAAAGTCTCGCTATGTATATAATAAACAGTTTATAGCATGGAAAGTGCTTTGTACGGGATTTTATTCACTCGTTGTTTGCATCATAAACTCACTCGCTCGTTCCTCGCTCGTTCGTTGTATGATGCAAACAACTCGTGAATAAAATCCCGTACGTCGCACTTTCCATGAAATAAACTATATAAACTTCATCCAATGGAACAAAATCTATCGAAGTCAATATTAATACGAACTAAATTCTCATAAACATAGTTTATAATATTTGTTCGCATGTCAACAAAACTGTTGTAGCTCACATTCCTTAGAACAGAGCATCTTCCTTTGAAATAGCAGTACTAGAATCATTTTCAGCTTCTATATTGCTATTGGAGCTCCGCTATTAGGTGTTACCTAATTTTTATATTATCGTATTAACCGAGTGGGAGGGCCGTACGGGACGTGATGGACCGAGTTTTTTTTGCTGACTTTTTAATAAAAAAAGTCGTGAATGATTATATTCTCGTTTCATCCTGGTCCGTATGGGAAAAAACGGCCCGCATTTTAGCCAATGAAATCGTGTGTTACACCCTCGCTATATCAGTAATATATAATAGTGTACAAACCTGCTGATAAACTGTTGGGAAAAAGAGCCAGCACTATGGTAGCACACAAGAAATGGAACTGTCCCATTATCATATTAATCTCAATCGAATAGACGGACTTTTACATTGTAGGCCATTACGTCCTGAGGACGACACGTATGACAACTTGCTTTTACAGTGTTGTTGAGATGCACGCTTATTAGAATAATTAAAAGAAAATATTACATTGTCATCGTTGAGCATATCGTTTGGATCTGAGATTTCCTTTTCTCTTTTTCTCTGTAAAAAGAAGAAATGACAATCTTTGTGATATCTAGAAACCCTCTTTTGTAACAAAACTAGGTAACAGTATGGAAGTAAATAAAATTGTTATTTTGAAATAGCCACTCTTAAACTTTGATTTTTCAATACTTACCGATTTTAGAATTTTGCTATAGTGATTAGATGTTATTTTGTCCTTTTAAATGCTCATTTTCCATAATATCAATGTTTAAATGGCATGTAGGTTTCAGTTTGTAAGGTGATGGGGTTTGTGTCGTAATCCTTTTTCAAACAGTTTAATGTGAATTAATTGCATAATCAAGACAGCATTATTATTGGAAATCAGCATGGTTGATTAGTCGCGCTTTTCTTTGTAACAGCAGGTAGTAATTCCTTCATATCTTTGGTATTTGGTCAACAATGCCCTTTTAGTTAATTCACACCACGATAAACATTCGTTATGCCAGGACATAGACAAATGTCTAACATGAGTATTTAATGCGAGTTTTAATGAGTTTAAAGCAGTGGAAGAATCATTCACGAGATGATTTTAACATTTGCTCGTAACATATCTCTCGTAAAGCAAACTCCTTCCAAGTTTGGGGAAAGTATCGTCCCAAAATAAACACACATTTTCTAAATACTGGTACACCATTATTGCACTTGGCCATGCGGTTCAATATTTCATTGAGCTCATGCCTACTACTACTATCATAGCTCGACGCTTTCGCGCGAGTTCGATTTTTAAATGTTTTTTTTAAATATAGCAGTACTAGAAGATTTGATTTATAATTGCTACTGATAAAAAATTATTCACGCTTAAACAGCATATGACATGAAAACAGTTTTTTGTCAGTCAAAAGAGTATTATTCAAAAACTCTTAATTTAAATTTGAGAGAATTTTGAAAAAAACTCGCTGAGTTAAGAATAGGCCGTATTCTCAAGTCGATTATCGTTCAAAAAAAAATAAACTTCACGGGGACTACTTTTAAACAATATAAATCTATACAATTTTACTTGCTAAATACAAATATGCTTATTGGCACCTCTGAAATCCTGCAGTTTTTGAGTTAAAGCCCTTGAAAGTTCCGAATTTTTTGACCTTTGTTTTGATGTCCGTCATCTTGGATTTTCGTGTCTGAGCATGCGCAGATGCTATTTTAGAGGAAGAGAGCAGTAGATATAAAATGAGCGTTCTGCGCCAGGGAGGAACGGGAGGAAGCGAATTTCTGGACGCTGATTGGTYGAAACTCCGRAGAACAATGGAGTGACGTCACATGTCACGCCACGGTCACGGTTACTGAAAAGAACCTGACGTCATTAGTCACGCCACAGGTAACGCAGACTAGGAGAAGTGACGTCACTAATCAAATCACGATGAAGAGGGAGGGGTAGGAAGCCACGAAGCGCAGCGGAGTGACTTCCGAGAGAGTCGGAAAAATCAAAAAAAAAGAGTAAGAAACAAGAACGTTTATTGTTAATAGAAAATATATGAACTGCTTCAAGAGGTCGAAAAAAAATCCGTTCGTGAGAAAGAGAAGAGCAGAATGGATCGAATCGCAAAGGGATCAGTATCAATGCCACAAGCCCAAGCATCATCGTTGTCGTCCATCGTCAACGTCCTCACTTCGGTCACGGGGATCGGTTACCAATGCGACTGCCCCTTCTAGAAGGCGCCCCCACGTAGAGTCGTTGGCGGCTGGATTGTCACTCATAAATGCGATTCTCGATTGCAATCGCAAAAGACAATTATGGCAGAAATCCAAGAATATTTGTATTGAGTAAAGAACAGCCTTGACGTCATTAGTCACGCCACAGGTCACGGAGACTAGGAGAAGTGACAGGTCTGTATATGAGTTGTTTATTCGACCTTTCAAGTTTGAGAAATCTACCGGCCAGTAATTTTTGAAATGTACC